ACTTACCTTTTGTGAATTGCTTAGAATGCATATTGATGTGAAAGAAAAAATGCAAATAATTGTAGCGAAGAAAGATTCATCACCTTAAAAGAAAAAAATTTATTGCCTTAAAAAAGGAAAATTAAAAATTATATTTAAATTTACAAGTTAATCAATATGAATGAATGGATGCAAATAAGAAAATAATAAAATGTAATATTTTGATTCAATAAAACATACCCAAAAATATTTTAATTATTCGAGAGAAATGAAACTAATTATTATAATAAGCAGATATTATTCATATTTTCAAATTTTTTATTAATAAAATTTTAATTAAAAAATTGAAACTTCGTTAGTTTTGTTTAAAAAATCAAAAATTTTATCAATGAATAAATGAAATGAAATTTTACATATGCAAAATGATAAATGTTTAAAAAGGATTAAGCTTATTGCCTTTCAATAATAATTAAATTGTTTGAAATGACGAATATTAATGAATTGGATGAGAGGAGAAAGCTGTAACAATGGAATTGAAAAGATAAAAGAATTAATTATAATTAATTAATTGTAATTGAAAAGATGAAAGAATTAATTATAAAATTATTGGCATAGGACAAAACTGGACTTATCAGTATCTGTCGCAATATTTTTCTAGCATTTAATGATGAGGAAGAGAATTTCGATTCATTATTTCGCAAACAGGATCAGTTTCGCAGATGTAAAATTTCTCGAAATGAGCAAAGATGAAGTGAAGCGGGAAGTAGAAAGTGATGATAAGTAATGAGAAAAGAATGATGATAATATTTTTGTGAGTAGTAGATAGTTGAAAAAAAAGTTGGCTGATAAAAAAGAGCAAAAAAAAGAAGGTAAGTAAAAAAATGGATTAAGTAAATAGGAATAATGTAATAATAAGTAATATTAAAGTGATGATAAAATGTAATTAAAAAAGTGGTTTAATAAGCATTAATTAGCAATTAATCATTGAGTAAAATTTAGGATGATAAAATTATAGGATAAATAATAAATTGAATGATTGGAAAAAAACTTTATGAATAGTTAAATAAGTTATTTAATTAATAAATTAAGCGATTAATAAAAGAAAATAGACGGAAGGGACGAAATAACGGCAATCATTGGTGACAAACAGTTGACAACCTCTTTTTAGCTTTTCATTTTCACCATCTTTTACGGTCATTTGATGGGTTGATTGATAAAAACAAAACCACTTCAGTAGTGAATGATTGTGGGTGCGACCACATATGTGAAAATCCGTACATGTAAACGTAGATGCGTTCACACGTAAATATGTACGTATTCAAACGTATATGCGTACATAGGTATTGTCGTGAAAATTTCGTTTCTATGTGTTGAATAGCAAGAGAAAGTTTTATTCAGTAGTAGGAATATTGCAACTATTATAATGCAATAGTATTTGATAGTGAAATGAAAAGGGTGGAATAAGATGATCCGGTCTTTTTAAAAGCGCCGTCAAACGTCGAGTTGAGTGAGACCCAGTAGACGCCGATCTTCGACCAAGAAGGGTTTTTAAAAATGCCAAGAATGTGTTTATTGGCGCTTTTATGTTGCCGATAGGTAAGTTGGGTTTACGTTAAGAGAATAACTTCATATAATGTCTGCAAGATAAATTACATAAAAGATTACATTTCTTTGTAGGAAGAAGAAATTGATGGCAGTCGTCTTACTAGACGAGTTGTCTCACGGTTCCAGTAAATTAGTCAACGTATGCGTGTAATTTCAATATCAAAGGAGAAGACATTTTACACAATTGAGTTTAGATAATGGACTCATCACCTTAGACATAGAAAAAACGTAATATTATATTTATTGTATAATGTGATGAGTTTTTATTACGGGAATGGTTTTTACAACAAATTCTTTAGCTGTTTGGACGTATCACAATTTCCTTCGGTTTTTCCCGATATTCCCGGCCGAAGGAGAGAAGAAGCATTGGAAAGTGGAATATGGGGTTCATATTGAAAAGGAATTCGGTTATCAGTGGTTAATCTCCTATAAATTTATTTGGTAAAGTCAGCATTGGAATTGCTAAAGAATTTGTCCTAGTTGAATTCCTATAGCATTTTAAGCAAATTATAAATCGAATTACTTTAAATTTCATCTTAATAACAACAAATGTAATTGAAATTAAAAATACAATTATGCTAATAACAATCAATTTCCAATGCACAGTGAAGCTAGCCAATTCTTCTTCAATTAATTCTGTTGCCTTACCAATTTGAATTTCTAATTGTTCGGCAAATTCTTCACCTTGTTGGCTTATTTCCTTCCAGACATATTCTATTTCGTATTGCTTCGATGCTGGTTGCAATTCTTCCTATTTCTGAGTCAGTATTTCCAGTTCTGCATTAATTCTTTCAAATTCAAGTTTTCTTATTACTCCTTCCTTGAATTCGATACTAGTAAAATTAAGGTCTCTCGATTTACATGGAATAATTAATAAATTTCCTTTGATTTCCTTGGCCATTACATCGTCCCTTTATAACAATAATCTCGCAGCTAGTGTTGGATTGTAAAATGATAACCATTCAATTAGTAAAAGCAAATTGTTAGGATTCTGACAACTTTTCTGATGCACTATGCTCATTTGCCGCTGACAATCTCGTTGTAGTTTATCAAAGATGTTTTGTGTTTTCTGAATCGAATTTGTCACCTTTGTCGGTTTCATCAATAATAATTTATCCAACTTTACATTTGGTATCGATTTTACAGTACTTCGATTTTTCGCCTTGGTTGAATATGATCCCATACCAATAATAATAACATCATTCATACGATAAGGATTCGTGAAGTTAAAATCTGTGTTCAGCATCGTCTTAGTTTTGTTGCTGAAAATAAGTGAAGTTTGAGGTTCATCTATGATTACATGACTTCCATAAATGTGTGCATCGTATACGCCAATCTTTTGATATAAACAATTTTTCGGTATTTCAGTTATGTTCCATAAGATAATATTGTTGATGGTTTCAGATCTTCCCCTTTGAGTAGTCAGTGTTCAGCATGGCCCAGATCTGAAACCATACCTTTCCCATCGTATAGTAGTAATAGTCTTCTAGCGATTGCAAAATTTATTGTAGATTAACATCTTACTCCTAACCATCCGCAGGAGTATTTTACATCATTATTTGTCATCCAAGTACTTGGTGCTATTTGTTTCATGATAATTCCATTGATTTCCTTATGTTTATGTAAAAATTTACAAGTTTGCGATGATATTGCTGAAGTGGTTGTTTGATAGATACTACAGATAAAGATAACCTACGAAAGGCTTTAAGTACATATCACTCGCGTAATATTGTTACATCTTGTTGCTGGAATTCGCGCATGATATCTGCACTTCTGCATATCATGGGACACAATTTTGTTTGAAGTAGGAAAAATCCTGAATTCAATTGCTAAATCTTTTCTACTTGTGTAAATTTGAAGAAGTAGTCGGCTTCAATCAGTATATCTGGTTTTCTCCGGTAGAAAGTTAGGCCTTCTAATTGGTAATTCTTCCTCATGGCACATGGTATATCCACTACTTGAAGTTCATCCATTAAATAGTCGACCACATTTACTTCACAAAATATTGGTCCCTTATTCTCACTTTTTATTCCAATTAATGTCTTTATTGTAAGAAGTATCATGTAATATCTGGCACCGAAAGTAGATACCTTTAATTCCTTTAACTCTACTTCTTCAAGTTTTAAACGGTTTGCTAATTCTCTTACTACAAAATCTAATTGTGAATCAATATCAAACAATACTGGAACTTCTTCGTTACATTCAGTTCTTTCCGCATTGAATACAGTCGCCATTTTGCATAGAATTAAAACTTCTCTTTCTCTTTCGATGATCGTGTTTATAATAACTGTTCCATTATCCGGTTTGATTTCTCTTTCTTGCATGGGTGTATGTGCCACTTGCTTGAATTGTCAACGTTTGCTGTCAGAGTGCGTTGTTGTGTGACCTTTTACAATAAAAACATTTCACCATTTTTTTGCATTCGGCCTCTATGTATCTCCCTTTGAGACATTTCTGACAGGCTTTAATCCTAATTAGGCGTTCTAATCTTTGCTTAGAGGTAGGATAAGTTCCACACTTACTATCTCAGTGATCCTTGTTACAAAACGAACAAGGTCTTCTTTTATCGCTTCTGTCTAACTCTTTCTTTATAGACAAGCTTGAAATATTCTTAAACTCATCTGATCCAGATTGACTGATTGTTGCCAATGCTGTAGTTTCTTCTTGGACACTTCGCTGCAAACGTTTGTTGAACTTTGTCAATTGTCGGTCGCTGTTGGTGTTTGAAGCTTGGTTTCTGATTACTTGGTCATTTCTTTTTACTAGTCTTCCAAGAAACTGTCTAAGTTTTGCAACTGACCGGGTGTCATTCTTTTGTTGATATACTTTGTTCAATTTCCATCCTAGTAGTTTGCTTTCAATGGCGGTTTCAATATTCGAGTATTCGAGATTTTCTCCGATAGCTTCTAGTTGACGAAGAATTCTTTCGATTGCTTCAACTACTGTTTTCCAGTTTCGACCATACTTTTTGATCGCATGTAGTTCGTTGTAAAGAGACTTCTTAATAGTTATTCCAAGTTTTACTCCAAATTTTAAAAAAGCTACTCCAAATTTTTCAACCAAGACCTTCCTTATAACTTGGTAATTTTCTGGTGCAATATCATAACCTCTTACGCCCTTTAACGCTTCTCCCTTTAAGCAGGAGAATAGACAATTTAATTTTTGTATATCTGGAATTGTTTGAGAATGTACAGCAGTTTCAAAACTTTTCTCTCCATGTTTTGGAGTCTCCGCTGAATATTGCAGCATTTATTGTCGATAAAGAAGCAGTTTTGGTTACATCTTGCTGAATCAATTCTTTGGGGGATTTTTTCGTTTGTTCAATTATTAATTCAAAATCCTTTTTATAATTATCTAATATAACAACAGTTTCTTTACCTTCAGTTAATAAATTTAAAATACCCTTTTCTTCTCGACCATTTGGGCGTATTTTTCTTCTTCCTTTCTTTTTTGCGAAGTGAGTATCGTACCGATATGATCCAACCATTTTGTATTGACTGATTCCAAATAACCGTAGTTTTTCATCGATTATTCTTCTTTTGACTCCAGACGCAATTCTTCCAATGGCAATAACTGATTCGGTGGCGACAAATCCAGGTTTTACTTCATGCAAGAGTTTAATTAGCTTTGTTATTATGCGTTTCGCGCTTTTCGTTAAACTTGTCGACATGCGTTCCCGGCTCGTGGCACCAAAAATTTGTCGTGAAAATTTCGTTTCTATGTGTTGAATAGCAAGGGAAAGGTTTATTCAATAGTAGGAATATAGCAACTATTATAGTACAATAGTACTTGATAGTGAAATGAAAAAGGTAGAATAGGGTGATCCGGTCTTTTTAAAAGCACCATCAAACGTCGAATTGAGCGAACCCAGTAGGCACTGAGTTGATCTTCGACCAAGAAGGGTTTTTGAGAATGCCAAGAATGCGTTTATCGGTGCTTTTATGTTGTCGATAAGTGGGTTGGGTTTACGATAAGAGAATGGAGAATAACTTCATGTAAAGTTTTTATAACACCGACAATAATTTGACAATGGCAAGATAAATTACATAAAAGATTAAATTGCTTTGTACGAAGAGTAAATTGATGGCACTCGTCTTACTAGACGAGCTGTCTCACTGTTGCAGTAAATTAGTCAGCGTATGCTTGTAATTTCAATATCAAAGGAGAAGACATTTTACACATTTGAGTTTAGATAAGAGACACATCACCTTAGATATAGAAAAAACGTAATATTATATTTATTGTATAATGTGATGAGTCTTTATCACGGGAATGGTTTTTACAACAAATTCTTTAGCTGTTTGGACGTATTACAATTTCCTTTTCCGTACTACAAATTTTCTTTTTTTTTGGACGTATTACAACTTTCAGTTTTTCCCGATAGGTATGACGTGTGTATAATATATGAATATGTATAATATATTAATGTGAATAATTTTCCATATGTATGTGCTATGTATTCCTTGTTGGTTAAACATACGCATTATTCCTGTTAATGCGTATGTTTAACCGCTTATGCATATGTGTTGTCGTGAAAAGCGAAACCTCAAATAAATTCATTCACATTGTAAATTAATGCTAACGATACTATGAATCACTTTTAACATATCTACATTTCTTAAAATTATTTCCCACACTTTTTTGTTATTATCTTATCTAACCAATTTGCATCCTTATGTTTAAACCCTTAATTTCCCATGTTAATCTTTCTGTTTAATCTTGTTATAATGCTTGTACCATTTCCGGTTTGTTTCCGGTACTTGAATTCTTCATGTAAACTACTTCCATTTCTTAACACATAATCTCGGTCCCAAACCAGGAGGGATTCTTTTCTTCTCTTCCAAGGATATCGGCTTCATATCAATTTCTTCTCACGATAAAGGTTAATATCCCTTACTGCTGCGTATTCACAAGACAAATCGACTTCCTCACAAACGTTTTTGCACTAATTTAGCGCTTCATTTGGATAGATTTGATTGGAGTTTAATTACCCAATCTCTGAGCTCGGCAAATAAATTATCTGGCAGTCATTACTATTTCACGACAAACTTTTTGGTGCCCGAGGTGAGGTATATCTGCCAGCATAATTGTCAGAGCGAAATCGGTAAAAGCAAATCTCGAGGGACTTCTCGATGAAGTACGACAAATGGATCTAACTCCGTTAGACCAAAAATCGACAATAGAACTCCTCCGTTAGACCAAAAATCGACAATAGAAGCATTGTGCCAGCAATATGAAACCAGGGCAAGAATCATCAAGGAAAAGTTGATGTGCCTTAAAAGGTACATCGGCATTCTCGAAAAAATCAAGGACAAGTGGTTGGAACACATTCAACTGCCCCCAAAGTCGCAGAAAAAGGAAGAAGAAGAGAAATATGAGAAAATGACAAATGACGATAGAGGTATCTTAAATTTAATTAACATAGGCACGGATATTATCATAACCTTATCTATGTATAAGGACGATGCTGAGTTAGCTCTCAAACGCTTAACACAAAATAAGGAATCTAGTTTAACTAAATGTCGTCTAGTAGTAAATTTACCACTATTGTCGTTACCAACGTTCAGTGGTGATCCTAAAACATGGAGAGAATTTTGGAGTGGTTTCGAAGCCTCCGTACACTCTCAAAACATGCCCGATATTCAAAAATTAAATTATTTAGTTTCCTGTCCGAAAGAAAGCAGTTAGTAAGGGGTTACGACAGGGCATCTGAAAACTACAAAATTATGAGGGAATTATTAGCGGAGAAATTTGGTCGTGTTTCTACCATAAGTTTACTGTACAAGGAGCTAATATCTACAAAATGAAACGATCGAAATTAGAGAAAAGTCGAAGAAATGGAAAGAGTGCTACGACAGTTAGAAGCAATTGGTGAAAACGTAGAGCAACCTACCATTGAAAACTTTGAATATACCATTGAAACTATGATAGAATCCAAATTACCAAATTAGATACTAAACCAAGTTTATCAACAAAAAGAGGAAGATAACCAGTGGTCCATAATAAAACTTCGACAGTTTCTCAGAAAAACAATCCTCAGAAACGACCAGGTAATGGAATGGCAATATTCAGATAGCGTAAGTCGAAAAAATTTGACCAAACGTCATCTTAATTCAATCATCCCAGAAACCTCTGCATTGGTTGCAATGAAACAATCAAAGCAAACTGCTTCAGCAGAAAGGAACCAGCTAGATCAAGAGAGTCCAAATTGCGTGACAAATAAGAAAAGGAGACCTTGTATCTTCT